CAAATAAATTTAACAAAGCTAATTGAATCAAAAGAATGTCAAACACATTCAAACAAAGCTTTTTGAATTAATGAAGTTCAAATGCATTTAAGAAAGCTGATTGAATCAAATGAAAGTCAAACACATTCAAACATAGATTTTTGAATTAAATAAAAGTCAAAATCATTCAAACAAAGGTTTTTGAATCGAACGAAAGTCAAATGCATTCAATAAAGCTAATTGAATGAAATGAGAGAAGTGGTAACTAGAAGTCAGCAAATGATTAATCACACCTGGAAGATTGAAGATTGTAAATGGTTGCAGCATCTCAAGTCTTGCATTTAACTTTTGATGTTTTTGATGTTAGTTTGGTTGTATGGGGTGATGGGGGTAGGTTCTCTTATGTCTGCAGGTCTGGTTTTCCCTGAGCCCTTCCTAGAAGGTACCAGGGATCTCTCTGACCTGGTTTCTGGTATTCCGTTCTTGTTTTGCACCCTTCCTAGAAGGTGGTAAGGCTGAACTTAAAACCAGGGTGGTTGTTTGCCTTTGTTGTTCTTAGGCTTGTGTAGTTTTGGGTTCCTGCTTGTCAGGATTGTACTATTATTTTGTACAGTTTTTTTTATCAATATACTTTTCTTACCTTCCAAAAAAAAAGAATGAAATGAAAGTCAAACAAATAAAAACAAAGCTTTTTAAATCTAATGAAAGTTAAACACATTCAAACAATGCTTTTTTAGTCAAATGAAAGTCAAACACATTCAAATAGGTTTTTCAATCGATTGAAAGTAAAATAAATTCGAAAGCTACTTGAATCAATAGAAAGTGAAAAATATTTATACAAAACTTTTTTATCAAATGAAAGTAAAAAACATTCAAACAAATCTTTTTGAATTGAATGAAAATTAAATGCATTCAACAAAGATAATTGAATCAAATGAAAGTAAAACACATTCAAACAAAGCTTTTTGAATCGAATGAAAGTCAAATGCATTCAACGAAGCAAATTGAATCAAATTAAAGTCAAACACATTCAAACAAAGCTTTTTGAATTGAATGAAAGTTAAACACATTAAAACAAAACTTTTTTAATCGAATGAAAGTTAAGCACATTCAAACAATACTTTTTCAATCAAATGAAAGTCAAACACATTCAAACAAAGCTTTTTGAATTTAACAAAAGTAAAATTCATTCAACGAAGCTTATTGAATCAAATAAAAGTCAAACACATTCATACAAATCTTTTTAAATCGAATGAAAATCTAACACATTCAACGACGCTAATTGAATCAAATGAAAGTAAAACACATTCAAACAAAGCTTTTTGAATCGAATTAGAGTCAAATGGATTCAACGAAGCTAATTGAATTAAATGAAAGTCAAACACATTCAAACAAAGCTTTTTGAATCGAATGAAAGTCAAATGCATTCAACGAAGCTAATTGAATCAAATGAATGTCAAACACATTCAAAAAAAGCTTTTTGTATTGAAAGAAAGTTAAACACATTAAAACAAAACTTTTTTAATTGAATGAAAGTCAAACACATTAAAATAATGCTTTTTCAATCAAATTAAAGTCAAACACATTCAAACAAAGCCTTTTGAATTTAATAATAGTAAAATTCATTCAACGAAGCTTTATTGAATTAAATAAAAATCAAACACATTATTACAAATCTTTTTGAATCAAATGAAAATCAAATGCATTCAACGAAGCTATTTGAATCAAATGAAACTAAAACACATTCAAACAAAGCTTTTTGAATCAAATGAAAGTCAAATGCATTCAACGAAGCTAATTGACTCAAATGAAAGTCAAACACATTGAAACAAAGCTTTTTGAATTGAATGAAAGTTAACACATTATAAAAATCTTTTTGAATCGAATTTAAGTCAAACACATTAAAAAAAACTTTTTCAATGAAATGAAAGTGAAACACATTAAAAAAAGAGAATTTTGAATTTAATACAAGTAAAAAGCATTCAACGAAGCTAATTGAATCAAATGAAAGTCAAACATATTCAAACAAAGCTTTTTGAATCAAATAAAAGTCAAACACAATCAAACAAATCTTTTTGAATCGATTGAAAATCAAATGCATTAAACAAAGATAATTGAATCAAATGAAAGTAAAACCCATTAAAACAAATCTTTTTGAATCGAATAAAGGTCAAATGCATACAACAAAGCTAATTGAATAAAATAAAAGTCAAACACATTCAATCAAAGCTTTTTAAATTGAATGAAAATTAACCACATTAAAACAAAGCCTTTTGAATCGAAGGAAAGTCCAACACATTTAAACAAAGCTTTTTCAATCAAATGAAAGTCAAACACGTTCAAATAAAGCTTTTTGAATTTAATGAAAGTTAAATGCATTCAACGAATCAAATTGAATCCAATGAAAGTCAACACATTCAAACAAAGCTTTTTGAATTGAATGAAAGTTAAACACATTAAAACAAAACTTTTTTAATCGAATGAAAGTCAAACACATCTTTTTCAATCAAATGAAATTCACACATTCAAACAAAGCTTTTTGAATTTAATAAAAGTAAAATTCATTCAACAAAGCTTATTGAATTAAATGAAAGTCAAACACATTCATACAAATCTTTTTGAATCGAATGAAAATCAAATGAATTTAACGAAGCTAATTGAATCAAGTGAAACTAAAACATATTCAAACAAAGCTTTGAATCGAATGAAAGTCAAATGCATTCAACGATACTAATTGAATCAAATGAAAGTTAAACACATTGAAACAAAGCTTTTTGAATTGAATGAAAGTTAACACATTAAAAAAAGCTTTTTGAATCGAATGAAAGTCAAACACATTCAAAAAAAACTTTTTCAATGAAATGAAAGTCAAACACATTTAAAAAAAAAAGAATTTTGAAGTTAATAAAAGTAAAAAAGCATTCAATGAAGCTAATTGAATCAAATGAAAGTCAAACATATTCAAACAAAGCTTTTTGAATCAAATGAAAGTCAAACACAATCAAACAAATCTTTTTGAATCGATTAAAAATAAAATGCATTTAACGAAGATAATTGAATCAAATGAAAGTAAAACTCATTGAAACAAAGCTTTTTGAATCAAATAAAGGTCAAATGCATACAACAAAGCCATTTGAATAAAATGAAACTCAAACACATTCAATCAAAGATTTTTAAATTGAATGAAAATTTAACACGTTAAAACAAAGCTCTTTGAATCGAAGGAAAGGCCAACACATTCAAATAAAGCTTTTTCAATCAAATGAAAGTCAAACATGTTCAAATAAAGTTTTTTAAATTGAATGAAAATTAAATGTATTCAACGAAGCTAATTGAATAAAATTAAAGTCAAACACATTCAAACAAAGCTTTTTGAATTGAATGAAAGTTAAACACATTAAAACAAAACTTTTTTAATCGAATGAAAGTCAAACACATTCAAATAATGCTTTTTCAATCAAATGAAAATCAAACACATTCAAACAAAGCTTTTTGAATTTAATAAAAGTAAAATTCATTCAACGAAGCTTATTGAATTAAATGAAAGTCAAACACATTGATTCAAATCTTTTTAAATCGAATGAAAGTCAAATGCATTCAACGAAGCTAATTGAATCAACTGAAAGTCAAACACATTGAAACAAAGCTTTTTGAATTGAATGAAAGTTAACACATTAAAAAAAGCTTTTTGAATCGAATGAAAGTCAAACACATTCAAAAAAACTTTTTCAATGAAATGAAAGTCAAACACATTAAAAAAAAGAATTTTGAATTTAACAAAAGTAAAAAGCATTCAACGAAGCTAATTGAATCAAATGAATGTCAAACATAATCAAACAAAGCTTTTTGAATCAAATGAAAGTCAAATACAATCAAACAAATCTTTTTGAATAGATTGAAAATCAAATGCATTAAACGAAGATAATTGAATCAAATGAAAGTAAAACTCATTGAAACAAAGCTTTTTGAATCGAATAAAGGTCAAATGCATACAACAAAGCTAATTGAATCAAATGAAAGTCAAACACATTCAATCAAAGCTTTTTAATGTGAATGAAAATTATACACATTTAAACAAAGCTTTTTGAATCGAAGGAAATACCAACACATTCAAACAAAGATTTTTCAATCAAATGAAAGTCAAACACGTTTAAATAAAGCTTTTTGAATTGAACGAAAGTCAAATGCATTCAACGACGCTAATTGAATCCAATGAAAGTCAAACACATTCAAACAAAGCTTTTTGGTCCGAATGTCAGTTGTTGGGAATATTTCAAGTATAATCCCAATTTTGAACCCCACTGTGATCATACACTTAAGCATGGTGGCGTCCAAAGGGAATAAAGCTAGAGCAAAAGAGTCGCCAACAAGTTTTAGGAACATCTAAACCGTTCATAGGGTGAAGGTTACACCCCTTAACGATCAAGGAGATCATTAACTCCAATAGGTCTGGTACCAAGACTGGAAGTTCGAGGATGAAGGTACAAATTCAATCTAAAAGAGAAAGAACCTGCCCTAATAATAGGCCTCTACTTTATTCTACTCGTATTCATGTGCACTTTCTGACTAACATGCAATCATTCACTAGTAGAAAAAATGTTATTTGTAACTGGCGAAATTGACTTTTTGTAACTGGCATTGTTGGTTGCGAATGCCACTGTTACAACTAATGAAAATTATTCGTAACCGACTAATGTTAGTTACAAATAATATACTATTCGTAACTGGCTTAACCAAACGCCAGTTACAAATAGTCTATTTTCTAAGTTAGAAAGCATATTATTCGTAACTGGTGTTAAGTTACGCCGGTTAAATAGTGTATTATTTGTAACTGTCACATCCTAACGCCAGTTACAAATTGTTTTTTATTTTTAAAAAATAAATTCTATTAGTAACTAGTATTAGATTATGCCAGTAACTAATATATATATATGTTAACAAGCTTGGTAGTATATCCTACCGAACAACCCATCCTCAAATGGTTAAAACATGTTCGACCAACAAAATACATACTCCAAATATGTGAAACACCAAAAATATTAATTCACTTTTATGATAAATACAAAGATTATCAATCCCGGCCACTAAACCATTTAAGGCTCAATTTAATTAAAATTTACATATACATCATCAGCTCTACATTAAGAAATGATGTACTTAAAATTACACGCATATCTCTCAGAAGGCCCAATTTAATTGTCTCTCACATATCTCTGACTGCTGTTCACATTTGACTATTTTGTCTCTCCGTATTAAGTTTTAATTGCATGAAAAATCAGAGCTGACCATTGCTCGGAAACTTACTAGAAAACATGCACCGCCTTGATCTACTAGCCTCTTGAACTCGAATCGACATTTCATGTCCTGAAAATGAAAATTTAAAGAGTATAACTTAAATTAAAGTTCGATAGTAAGCCACTGGAAAAAAAGAGATCAACACTAACAGCTTCGGCATCGCAAAGTGTTTCAAAAAACATACATTGGCACTGGAACACATCAAATTTTATTTTATTAGGTATTGCAAACATGGTGGATATTTCTTTTGCACATGGTATGAAGTACAATCATATAAAGTACTACCATACTAAGAAAGTTATTAGATTTACATAACAGAAATAGTAGAAAACACAATTAAAGCACCCATACTTGCTATTTCAAGTCTGATATTTGAGTTTCTCTGCTTATTATGAAGAGTAATAATATTTGTACATGCATCTAGACAAAAAAAAAATGAAAAAAAGTATCCATTTCTCAAAATCTGCTAAGAATACTTAGTACTATCTGTCATTTGCTTCAGATTATGCAAAGAATACCTGAATACTTATCATCATTATCTTTCCATTTTTTTTCTTCTTACAAACTTGTAAAAATTTAGCAAATGCATCAAACCTAGCCTCCGATCTATCAATCAACTTTTCCTCCACTATATCAAATTTCACAAGAAATTTTATATAAGTTTGTTTATAGCCTCTTCACCCATGTTTTAAACACAAAATATGTACACAAATCAGAGCAAAAAACCACACAAAGTGTAGCAGTAGCAAGGATGAAATTTTATACGAGTAAAACAGTCTTAAAAGACCCTAAACCACAAGAATATCCAAGCAAATATCTCAACATAGCTCTAAGAAAAACGCACTAAAACAGAAGTAATAACCAAATAGAACCAAAATTGACCAGCTTTCAGAAAACAACCCAGTTTAATAGCAAACAAACTCAAAAAATTCTGAAATTTTACAGCAAAGAGTAGACAAAAAATTACCCAAATTCAAAAAATGAATCATCTAAAAATCATTTGTAACGAAGGAGAACAAGCCCAGTGAAGTCAGACCTCTAAACTGTTCCAACGAGATTCACCTAGACATTTTATCGAACATATATATGGTGTACTGTGCAACTAAATTAATGGCATTCTATTGCATAAAATTTTCAAAATCCTGATTGTTGTACAACCTAATTCATACTAGTTATTTTTTAATCTCCCAGAATCCTAATTAACCACAGTTTAGTTGTGGTTTATGACAGGCAAGGTTTGTTAAGCAAGAACAATAGAACTTATCTATCACTACAAGCAGGCCAAAAAAAAAGAAAAAAGAGAAAGAGATTTATCACTCAAATCCATCATTGTCTTCCGAGACAAGTACAATTTGCTGCTATGGCCAACTCAAGAGCATCATTGAGCATAGTAATTTAATCAGGGAGGTAGTTTCAATTGATCAATGTTAGTTGACCAACCATCTAAAATGCAACGCTCTTTATTATGTGGGTATTATTTGCATGAAGTTATTGTAAGATTCACAGTAATACATATCATACATGACAACTTCTCCCCTTAATAATGATAAACTAACAGTAGAATAACAGAAGACCTAGAGGAAATCAAAGTCTCACACTCACACCCCCAACCATGCACCAATTACAAGAGTCCGCCTAAGGAAAGGTGAAGTCCTAGATCTGTTTGACTTTTTTTTTCATGAAAGTTAATCATCACATATAGTATATGTGAAGAATCATAGAAGACCTTGGGGTTCACCTCCAGCTGTGCCAACCTTAGAATTAAATTGTTATTTTTTGTTAAAAGTCATAAACCTAACTCCCTTTATGGATTTTCACATTGTATTCATATGATTAAAGCAAAAATCACACAGTTGATTCATCCACTAATAACTCATAGTAGAAAGGATAACACTGGTAATGCATGTAATTTCCTCGTATCAGAGACAACAGAATCCTGATACAACAAGCACAGAAGATGAGAATAAATTTTTTTTGAAGATGAGAATAAATAAAATAGTAATGAGGATGAAATATTGATAAAGTTGTTACTTTTCATATTTTCAACTTCAAAGAGAAAGATGAGGTATCACATTTGCTAGGGTACAAAGTTAAATACATGTAATAATGTATCTTGATCCTAACTAACATGCTTCACAGCATTGTATACAATAGGAGTAAGAAACTAGAGGAACTTCTTTCTGTACCTTCATATGTCCATAAGACTTCTTTAGTGAATCTAAGCAGTTATAAAGAGGTTTCTCCACTCCAGAAGCATGGGAAAAGACCCCTGATGAATGTTGATCGTCAAATAACAAATAGAAGCATAAGTAGCTTTGGCATTGCAACCAAAACTATACAATATGAATTTTCTCAGTCTTTTAATTATAACTGCAAAGTTGAGACCTATATGTACATGTATTTATGTGTTCTAGGATAACAAACTTCATGTCTAGAGGAAGTACTACGTAGTGCTATGATGAGGAATTCATAGTCACACGTACAAACATTGACTTCAAATTCTGAATAAATTTCTCAGACTTATCAATTTCTCCATGTTGCCATTTCTCACAAGCCAGATACATATTAACAACTTCAAATCCTAGATTCATATATTTCTTAGAGTACTTCTCACAAGCCAAAATGTTTGCTATTACAAAAATAGTGAGTAAAATAATGAAGAGAAGAAGACCAAGATAGTTCCAAAATCATCTTGTAGCTAGAAAAGGTGAGCTTTACGAAACCAGACATGGATCGACTTTTCTTCTCTAAACAGGAACAGGAACATTATTAGTCTTGCTTAAGTTCATAATTATATCAAAATATTAACATGAGCATTTTCCAATATATACATGGTACAACTTGATTTGCTAATAACTTTAATTTAAGCCGAGATTACTAAAATCAAGAGCTTGTTCATGTTCGTCATTTTTTTAAAGAAAAGATCGTCAATTTTGTTTCCCGTCCTTAAAGTAGTGATAATCAAATATTCAAATTTCTCAAAGAAGTATAATATCAAACACACAATATATAACAATAAAAGATTTTTCCCAGAATTGAAAAGCCATACCAAATCTTCCAGCCCTGCAAATTGTTCAACAAGACATTGGTTTAGAACTCACAAGTTTCAATTTCTCTCTTGCGCTCATTCAAAACTATCGCCACCCAACTTCTCAAAAGTGGATGTTCTCTAATTTCAATTTACTTGAAACTCGAATATGCATTTTTTTAGTAATAATACCCCAAAACTTCCATTAAATTAAATTAACAACCAAAAGAACAAACCCTAGAAATCTTATAAGTTCTTTTTATCAAATAATCCTGCATAAATAACTAAAAATACATACATTAAGAGGAGATCGAGAGCATACCTTGATCATATTCATGATGAATAAGCTTTAGACGAGTTTTAGAGGTGTGAGAGAAGTTGCGAGTATATCAGTTTATGTGAAAAAGGGATAGGTGAAGGTAAGAGGAAGTGCAGACAAGTACAAATTTCTCAAAAATAGAAAAACTACAGTAAAAAAAATTAAAATTAGTAACCGACCTAAATAATGCCCATTACAAGTGATAAGGTCAATAAAGTTTGACTTATTATTTGTAACTAACCTTCTTTATTTTCATTACTAGTAGTTGGTCAGTGTATCATTGACCTACTATTTGTAACTGGCCTTTGTTATGCAAGTTACTAATACTATTTTATTTGTAACCATCAATATTTATGTTAGTTACAAATAATCTTGTTATAACTAACATAAATCAGGCCAGTTAAAAATAGGGCGTTACAAATATCATTTTTTCTACTAGTGATTAGATTTACCCTAAACATGTTTATCTATGTTGGTTGAATATTAATGCACAAATAAAACTATTATTGGCGATCACTTGAATTATAATCAAATTAACGTAAACAAGATTATTAATTATCTTATTAAGCGTGATTTCAAATAAAAATTCCTTTTAAACATGCATAAAAGGCGTGATCAAGCAATAACAATAATAACATCAAGCAACATGATAATAAGCATCATAATAACAAATAATTAAAATCATAATTAAAATAATCATGTTAAAGCATAATAATAATAGCAAGATCTTAGGCATGATACTAACAAGATTAATAACAAATCCTAACATGTCACTAAACAATAAAGATAAAAGCTTTAGCCATAACACGATACTAACATGGTATTAGGAAAGAAAATAGGAAGCATCATAGAAATCATAATTGATATAAAAAACTTATTAATTAACCCTAAAAATGATACTAGGAAGCAATAAAACATCCTAACATGATACTAGGAATCACAATAATAATCTAAGAATTATTTCTATATCAAAAGATCAATTAAACAGTAAAAGCACTTACTTGGATGACTCGTATCTCTTTCTAATATTAAAATACACACATGAGTAACTTCAAGGAAAATAATAAAATTAAAGAATCAAATTAAATAATTGAAATAGAGATTTGAGACCAAACTATCAGAAATATCAAACCTTTCACGTAGCAATTTCGAACTTGGCTAGGTGTGTCTGTTGCTAATGTATGAGAAATTGTGTACGAGGGAAGGTTTTGAGAAAGAATAGAGAGAGAAAAAGCTTCTAGCTTTTAGAGAGAGAAAGAGAGAGATGATTGTTGTTAATGAAAAACGGAGGTTCAGAGACCTTATTTATAAGAAAATAGTCAGGAATCGATAGAAACAAATCAGAGTACACCTCTCTGTTGCCAGCGATAGGGCTCGTTGCCATGCGACGAACTTGTCGCCAGGTGGTGCAAGAAAGTTTTTGCGGATTTTGTTTTTATCATATCTTTTTATCATATCTTTTATCCAAAAGTCCAAATAAGGAATATAATATGTCGTTAGAAAGCTCTTTAAGTCTACATTCTAACACAATTAGAATAAGACTAAGGTCCTGTTTGGTGATTAGCGGTTAGCTGATTGACAAGAGCTGGTTGCATTAGCTGTTTTGACTAGCTGGTTGCATTAGCTGTTTTGACTAGCTGATTTATAAGAGCTTTTTATGTAAAGTTGTTCGGTAAAATTAGCTTATTATTTGTAGTTTGTTCGATAGTTGAACATATGAAATGACAATTTAGGACATTGATAATTTTTTTTTTACTTGATTAAGGTAAGAAATTTGGAGGGCAAGGATGTGAATTAGAGTAAATTTTAGGATAAAATTGTCTTTTGACATCCATTACTCAATAAGCTAATCTAAAAAGCAATGGCCCTGTTTGGGAGAAAGCAGAAAGCTGAAGCTGATTGAGTTAGTTGATTTTGACTAGCTGATTTTATTAACTGATTTGACTAACTTATTGTATTAACTGATTATATAAAAGTGTTTGGTAAATAGCTGATAGCTTAAAGGTGATTGAGTATGTAAAATGACCAATAAGCTAATTGTGAGGTAGGTAGTTTAGATAGGATTTTAAATTAAATGAGGTTATAAGTGTCATTTCACAATAATCAATGAATAAGCTAATTTAAAACGCTCCTAAAATGAGCTTTTTCAAAAAGAGCTTATTTAGTGGAATAAGCTCTTTTAATAAGCTTACTACCAAACACTTGTATTAGCTTGTTTGACTAGTCAATCGGCTAAAGTTAGTCAAATAAGCTAATATACCCCCAATAAGCTAACTACCAAACAGGGCCTATGTTTTTTTAGCTTTTTACAAATTAGCTTATTTGCCTTAATAAGCTCAATTAAAAAGCTCTTTTACCAAACAACCAAATTAGATGATTTATGTAGTCAAACCTCTAACCTGGTCAAATAAGCTCATTTTTGGTCAAAACTCTAATTACCAAACATGGCCTAAAATACTTTGTAGATAATAAGAAATGGCCAAAATAGTGGAAGGGTGTTAGTTTTGGATAGAGTTTCGTATTCCATTCATATCTTTTTCGTTATATCTCGGAATTAATATTATAATATATCATTGGAAAGATAATTTCAAGATCTATCCAACCATATAAAATTTTGGTAAAGATTATGAAGGACGAAAATAATATCTGAATATATTCCATTTCGTACAAAATAAGGATTCTCAAAAGGAGTAGTTTTAATCAATTTGAAACTCTTTGAAACATAATTGCCAATCCTAACTCTATTAGGATTTAAGAGAACCTTCTAGAGTATTCTAGAAGACTATAATCAATCCTAATAGCTTTAGAAAAGATAATTAATAATAGACCCTCCTCTAGATCATTGGGCCGTATGTAAGAACCAAACCGGGCCCAGTTTAGTATTTTTGTTATAACTTCCTCATAATTCATCGGAATTGGGCTTATAATATATCGTTAGAAATATCTTTTCGAGACCTATCAAATTATACTATTATTGGACCTTTATCATGGACCAAAATAATATGGATTGGCTACTTTCATAAAATAGAGCAGGTTTTTTGAAAACAGAAAGAAAGATTTAATAAAAACTAACCGCAACACTAGACTTTTCACACTTTAACTTCATTCGATTATTATTCGACGCGAAAGGTATTCATTACTGGGTTTGGTTTTAGGGAGACACAAATGGGTGTCTACAGAAGCTCCCACTTTGACCGAGTTTGGAGAATCTTATGTTTCAAAAACAAAATTCAAAGTAGCGATAGGGACGGAGAATGATTCAGAACGTTCTACGATCCTAAATCATTCTTGTAACGCCGATACCTGCAAACTAGCGTTAGTTATAACAGATAAGAGAGTTAAGAAACGCGAATCTTGCATCGTCGAGCACATGTCTCTGGAGGTAACCGATTTGTTGCTGCATTTTCTGTTTTAACAACCTTCCACAAGCTAGGGAACGCCATCTTGCAGTTTTGACGTTCACTCATCTCTGAACAATGGAGCTTTTTGATACGTCCACGCGTCTTTGAAAAAATATCTTTGACGATTTTCTTTAAGCGAGGGGATACCGCCTAAAGACTGCTACGCCCGTATCTGCCTCCAATTTCTGCTATGATAATCTTCCGCAAGCTAGGGAATAATATCGAAGATTGCTTCACCTGAAATGACCTTCTACCGCCTTGTGACCAGCTTCCACAAGCCAGGGAACATGATCGAAGATTGCTTCGCCTGAAGCCATCCTCGGTTGTTGCGAAAATATTCCGAAGAAAACTACTGAAGATTAACGCCTGTTGATCCTTAATGCTGCTTGAATTTTTCTATTAACACAACTCATGTATGATGTATGACAATCCTATTTAGGGAAAATTGTCAATGCCACGTAACAATCCATCATTTGGAAATGTTGCTACGATGAAGCGACATTCCGTATCTCAGAAAATTTGCCAAAATCCAGTTTTGGGAAAAGTTGCCAATGCTTCGTAACAATCTGTCATAAGCACTTTTCTACGATCGACAATCCACATCTTAGAATATAACTCTTGAAATCATTCCACCTTGGAAATTTGCCAACGCTATGCGACAATCCTTTTAGGAAAATATTGCCAGTATTGACAATCCGCGTCTAAGGACTTTTTGAAAGGAATGGTGTCCTTCGAACAAGTGTATTATTCTGATAGCAGGTTCAGAATTATTAGAAAGCTAATATATTCAGTAAGGTCAAGTGATTGGAATGCCTGGGTGGAGGTCGCTTCCAATTAGTAATATTAATATAATTAATATTACAGCTTAATCTTGACTGAACCCTTCGGGTCACACCCAAGAAAAATATACGAACCAACTCGACGAATTAATTCGGAAGAAATTAATTCGTCGCCCGAGTGTTAAACATTTAGACGTCGGAAATTCGAGCTTGGAGCGTCGAAACCGAGCGTCGGAGAATCTCAAATGTCGAGCCAAAATTTAGGATTTGGTGAGACGGGAAAATGCATCAAGTAACAAGTAAAATCCTAGCTACGCAAAAGGCTAAGAATACATGCCCAATAGGAGCATTCCACGTGGCAGCACACATGGCAAAACGCCATGTGGCAGCACACGTGGCCGCCACGTTGGCAGCCGCCACATTGGCAGCCACCAAGTGGTAGCGTGCCACGTGGCAGCGCGCCACGGTGGCGACACTTGTGGCAATGATCGTGGACCCGGGTTGATGGGTCATGGACACAGGCCAAAATAAAATGGGCCAACCGAACCCAACTTGGGGCTCAAGGTTGGGTGACACATGGTTAGTTCACATTGCATGTGAAATGCCTTGGGGACCAAGTGAGAAAGTGGTCCACACCTAACCATGTGACACTTGTTACTTGTTCCTTTGTTTATTTAACTAAGGGTAGAATTCACCAATCTTTCCATGTGGGATCTTTTTGTGAAAAGTCCCACATTGAAAGATGAGTGAAATTCACAAGGCATACTTCCTTATAAATAGTCATGGAATGACTTGAGAATTCTTTGCTTGAGTGGGAGTTAAAAAGAGCATTCCATAATATTGGGAAAACTCTTAAACTCATATAACACTCGGGTTTTGGTCGGACCTCGCTAACCCCCAGGTAGTAGACCTTAAAGTTGTGTTCGCCTTTTTGTGGGTGGATACTGTCGGAGGCGCGGCGCTTGACGTGCTCGTAGCTTTCAAGTAAGAGCC